ACCAATCGTTTATCGAGATAAAAGGCTAATCGTGGATTACAAGAGAATGATAGAAAACAAGTTACGATGAAACTGGATGGCATCGATAATCGTTCATCAAGCGTGGATCGTGGAAAACAAGCCTTTATCAAGTTCGTCAGTGGCCTACAGAGATAAAAAGCTGATCGTTTCACAGGGTGACAAGCGACAGATAGAATTCAAAAATTTCAAGCGACAAAGCCTTCGTTAGAACTTAGAAGACAGCAAAAATTAAGAAGAATAAGTCGAGATCGAAAGAAGATGGATTATTCGCAGATTGGTGGGTCTAACTTAAGTGGAAGGGTGTTGCAGTTTTACTTTACAAAAAAAATGCATTATGCAAATTGTAAACAAAAATAATGTTTTATTAAAATATCCCCGTCTATGTAAATGAGAAAAAAACGCGTGAGATTTGTAGATTTTTTCATACTTTAACAGTTTTAACAAGTGGGATGTAGAACTTTTTATTATTCGCTAGGGAGACTATGTAAATGTTGATTAAAGAAAAAGGATATATAATGGAGAAATTATGAGGCGGAAAAGGGATTATTATTTTAACTAAAATTTACTTTTAATTTTTTAATTTTATTTTATTTTTTTATGATGTTTACTATTATAATTTTGAATAAAGAATTAAAGCTGATTTTAGGATTTCGTGATTTCTAATTATTATTAATTTCCTTTTTATATATATTTGTTTTCTATTTTTATATTTAGGTTTTGATGCACAATCTTGTCGTTGTGACAAAAAATATCCGGGCCGGGCCTAAAAAATTTAAAACCGGGCCGGGCCGTGCAAATGGTACCTCTGCAGGTCTCTGATATATATCTTCGTGTTTATTATAATAATTAAATTTAGCAAAACCATCATGAAAGTGTATTTAGATTTTTTTTGATATTTTATTTTTAGATATAATAATTAAATTTAGCGTAATCATTATGAAAATGTATTTAATTTTTTTTGTTATTTTTAGATATTTAAAAATTATATGCGCTTCCCTATAAAAGGGAAACGAAATTGTAAATTTCAATTCTTATATTATTTTTTTCAATTCATTTTTTTTGGTGTTCACGAAATTATAATTCGCTTTAAATTTTATAATAATCTTGTGTTAAATAATATTTGAAGATATGAATAAAATTAGTATAATTTTGTCTTAAATCCGATTTGGGAGTGTTGTAATATGTAAATTTATTTTGAAATAAAAAAAAAGTAATATTCAAATCGACTGTTAAATAGAAAAACGAAATGAATTATTAGATTATTTGAGTAAAGACGATGTAAATGAATAGGATAGAAAAGTATATATAATCGAGGATATTTTACGTGTTATTTATGATTTTACGAACTTAATTTTTAATTTTTATTAATTTTCTTTATCTTTTATTTTGATTATGTTTTCACTTTATATTTAAGTGCTTAATGAAAATTTAGGATCATAATTTAGTTGTAACTTTTCTTTATTTGACAACGGTTCTAATTTCCCAATCCTAAAAATTAAAAAATTTTACAATGGTGTTGGAGAGAGGAGGCGACAGGGCAATTACAATTCAGTCTAATTAACTCTGAAAAGAAATTCTAAATAAAGAGGGAAGGAGATGAATGAAATGACTATCGACACTAAGACAAAGAATGAGAGCAATAAAACAATGGTATCAATATTAATGGTCGTAATTCGTAGAATTAGTCGTTTAGCTAAAAAGTATTCGTCACAAGAGATCATTATAGGTACAAGTAATCATTTTATAGAATATTAGGTTGTGGATTAACCAAAAATCTTCATATAGAAAAACGGCTTTTCGTCATTAGAAATTTTATGCCGCAATCGAGCTCACGTAGAGATCGAATTTTTATTTGAGATCAAAAGATAAAACAAATATTTATCGTATAAGAGATCTTAAGACGAAGTTGAGATATTGACAAGCGACTAGGTAGAACAAGTGGTCAAGACCAGGATGAATCGTTAATCGTTGACCAATTATCGCCAATTGCTTATCAAAACTTTAGTATAGGATACAAAATCGATAATCTTAAAAACAAGAATTCGGGAAAACAATCGTTAATCGTAGATCAAGTATCGCACATCGTTGACCGAGATAAAGCAATGATCATTAGTTACAAGAGAATGTTAGAAACGAGCAAAAGACCAAATTAATTTATCAGGAGAATTTAAGATAGTATCGATAATCGTTGACTAGCAATCGTGTATCGTATGTTAATCAAGTTGTCAGTGCTAAGAGCTCATCAATAACAGATTAAGAAAAGAAACAGAATCTATCGGTGATGTAAGTGAGCAAAGGAAATAAAACAGTAATTGGATACATGCTCGAATATTGGTATTTGGCAGGATGTGGGGCCTAATTTAAGTGTAAGGGTGTTGTAATATGTAAATTTATTTTGAAATAAATAAAAAAAGTAATATTCAAATCGACTGATAAATAGAAAAAAGAAACGAATTATTAGAATATTTGAGTAAAGACGATGTAAATGAATAGGATAGATAAGTATATATAATCGAGTATATTTTACTTGTTATTAATTATGATTTTACGAACTTAATTTTTAATCTTTTAATTTTTTTTATATTATTTTAATTTCTTATTTTAATTATGATTATGTAATTAGTATTTATATCAATTAATAAAGTATTAGTAGTTAATTTATTTATTTTATTCTCTAAATTCTCTCAACCACTACATTTGTTGGCCGAAACATTATGTTCTATGGACATATTCATTGTACTTAAAACACTAGAATTTTACAGGGAGCTATCGATAGAACAAAAAGTAATCCAAGTAAGCGGACAACATGATATATCGTAATTAGGCTGAACCCTTAGTATTTTCTCAGTTCCAAGAATCTAATTCTTGTCATGTATTGAGGAACTTGAGGACTTACTGTCTCTAGTGCCCAATGTTGCCTTATTGATGGAAATTTAACAGCCCATGTAAAGTTGAATTCCAAGGAATTTTGTAATTTCATTAGTATTTGTTTATTTTCCAAATAATTAAGAATAAATATTAATTTTCTCTACTAAATTGTTAAAAATATTATCATCTATAAGTTTTTTAAAATTCGAAAGCAAAATTTATGGGGGGGGGGGGATTCTTGTTTAAATTCTGTATATTATATTTATATAATTCCATATTTGGCCAAAGGGTTTCCCTATTATTTGGGATACTATCATTATCTTCAATAACTAACCTGGTAAAATATCATAGGTTATTTAGATCAGCTATTGTGACATTTTCAAAATCCTCATCCTTCTCAATATCTACATATGTGATTTAATACATGTTGAGGTAATCTTTTGATGACATATGATCTTGCTGGGAGCGAAAGGGTTAAAAAAAATGAAATCATGAGTTAAAAATAATTATAATATTTATGAATAAACAAATAATTTGACCTAAAAATATTGTCAAGATAATTATTCAATAAATAATTTCAATTTTTTATCCTTATTTATTTCTTGTATTTGATTTATATTTTTAACTCAAATTATTTAGAAGATTCAGAATTTAAGCTTTTATTTAAAAATTTACTATTAAAAAATCCCAAAATTGGTAAAATTAAAAATAGACAGATTAAATTCCCTAGAAATCATCATACAGTCCCTTTTAATGGACAGTATTGAAAACTAATACAAAGTGACTTGAATAATTTTAATAAAACTAATTTTTTTTTATTAAATTTTACCAATATATTCTTTATTCATAAAGAAAATTGGCCTAAGAACCTAGATGAAAAAATCTGGCGAGAAGTAAATAAAAAATATCTGCCAAAGATACAAATCAAATTAATATAAAACAATTGCTAGGATTCAACAATATGTCAATGAAGGCTTTTTTAAAGAAAATTGCAAAAAATTCCTTAACTGTGTCGATACCTTGTCTTAGAATAGTGTAGATTGTGAAAGAGGATTTCATCTTATAAGTTAATCATGACAGATAAACGAGCAAATGTTCATGTTCATAAATATTATTGGTCCTATGATATTGGAGTGGATTCTAGATCAATATATCAAAATATGGAAAAGAATGCAGCCTAAAGAAAAAAAAATTTATGGAAATTCTTTTAATTCATATTTATATTTGAAAAGATATTGATAAGACCTAATTTGTAGCATTATTTTTAAAATATAATATAAATAAAGAATTTAATCACAATATATAAAACATTATAGCAACCCCTCCAAATTTTAAAGTGATAAATCACTGCTAATAGTGATAAAAAAATTTAAAATATGCTTCACTTTATATATTTCTAATAATGTAAAAAGTTTAATTTGGGTTATAATTGAGTCCCACATAAACAGAAAGTCCAGTCACTTTGAACTTGAGTTGGTCAAACTTGGATAAACATTTTCTTGGGCTATCAAATTCAAACTTTGATTTTAAAATTTATTTCAGGCCAGATCAAATTAGAACCTTAATTTTTTTTAAAATTTTTTTGTTAAACTATTTTCAGAATAACCACAAAATTGTTTATTACCCTTAAATGCACATAATTTTTATGATTTTGTATAAATATATTGTTTTTTCAACAGAACAATAAAAAAAAAATATTGAATTGGACCAGGGTCAAATCTTTGGGGAAAAATTTCAAGAATCAGATTGGTCTGACAATTTTAAAATTACTCAGATAGGGCTGAACCTGAAAAATATATTTGATGCAGGGTCCTAATTCAATTAAACTGAAATTATTTTTTAAAGAGAACTGCTATTCTCTTCTGAACAGATATTTGTTATGATCCATGAATAACTGTTTTATTGCTAATTTAAAAGATGTAGGGAGACATATACCCCCACCTGAATTGAGAAGGATTAATAGTTGATAAAATATTGTGACTACTTTTTTCATAAATTAGTTTCTTTATAGTAAACTTTTTTTTATAAAAAAATATAATTTTATTAAAAATTGTATCTAAAGACATGCCAGAGGAGTCCTATAAGATTTCAATTATAGATTAACTTTGTACCTCCAAATTTATTTATGGCTTTTTCAATACTATTTTTAACTTGTAATTCATCTCGAATATCAGTTTGTAAAGGTAAGCAGTCACTTCCTAGGCTTCTGACTAATTAATTTTGTATTAAAATCTATTAAATTTATAGATATACTTTTTTCTGCAACTGAATTTAATGAACCTTGCAATTTTGGATGAAAATCTAATGTTTTTGCTAATAAAATAATTTTGCATTTTTCTTTTGCAAATTTAAGAGCAATCTCTTCACCAATGCCTCGAGAAGCTCCAGTTATTAAAATGGTAAAATTTTTATACATTTTAATAAATATTGAAATTCATTCATTCATTCATTACCAGGCCAGAAATTGCAAACCAGGAGTTGAAGCGTGCATCATGTATTTTCACTAGTATATAGATCCCATACATGATGTCTACCCGTTTTATTATAGTGGACGGTACCACTATGTAGCCCGTTAGCAAAGTGAAGAAGGAAGAAGTACAATAATGGTGATGTATTAGTTCCGTTTCCGGCAGAATAGTGTTAAGGAAAAAATAAGAAATAATGTCATATAAAAAAATGTACCTGCGTCCTTAAGTGGTATTTAGTGAGGCAACAAAAAAAATAACCCTTATATCTTGTTAAGTATTGAGAGTTTATGTTAAGTTTGCATGTAGAGTCTCTTTCTTGTTTGTTGTTCGGTGTGCCAAAATATTGTATGTCCCGTAGATCTTATATGTTCTGTGCCAATGGTATTTGGGTTCGTCCGATTATTGCGTTATTATTATAGCCAGTTTATCTTCCCATTGCCTGTTATACAGCTAATATTTTCGTAATTGTTATCGTTATCGTCGCCGATATCGTGTGTCCAGAAAGGAAGGTCGTGGGTTATTAGAGGAAGTTAGGTTATGTTGTTGTTGTTCAGGTTATTATCATTATCAAATACACTTGTTCCATTTATTGCAAGAACGTAAAGGTGAAAAACGGTTGCGATATTAATTTAGGCCATATTTTAGCATGTATTGTAAATGTTCCTTTAGGTGTTTCTTGTTTTTGCTAAGTGCCATGAAATCTGCAAACGAGAGGTTAATCAGGTCCATATCTTTCAAACATTTCGCCAACCAATAGTATTTAGGGGTTTTCCTCCTACCGTCAGGGCACCATTTCAAGGACGAGAATATCATATTTTCCTGCGAGTGTCTTAAGCTATGGCCTAGTAATTCTAGTCTCCTCATGGGTATGAGACGATTGATTGGTAGGATGTCGCATCTATTCCAGAGCGTTGTATTTGATGTGTTGTATGGGTAATACGTTTTGGTGATTCTTCTAAGGCATTTGTTTATAAAAGTTTGAATTGTGCTGATGTTACTTTTTGAGTCTTGCCAAGTCTCCAGGCCGTAGGTAAAAATGGGTACAATTAGGGATTTGAAGAGTCTTATTTTTAAATTAGTTGATATTTGGTTGGATGACCATAACTTCGACAGTTGATGATAGCGGAGTCTCGCATTCTTCGTTCTCGAATTCGTGTCTAAAAAGGTGAGGCCTAATGACGTTATCCTGGTTCCTAGGTATTTAAAATCAGACACTAATTCTATCGTATTACCCTCAAAGTTAAAGGGGTTTAAGTGACTCGCGTCAGTATTTGAGGTGATTAGTTTGGTTTTTGTGTAGTTTACTCTTAGACCATATCCATCACAGTTGTTGACAAATAATGATAAAATATTTCTTAATTTGTATTCTGAGTTGGCTAGAATACATACGTCGTCAGCATAACATAGAAAGTTTAAAGAGTTGTGCATATCATTGAGGTGTTGTTGCTCACTGTAATATGTGTTGAGTGCATATTCCTGTTTAAAAGATTTATTTAGGATATCATTCATTATTACATTAAAAATAATCGGTGAAAGGATGCATCCTTGTTTGAGGCCTCTATTTGCTTTAAAAGGTTGCGACTTCATATTTAAATGCTGAGGAACTACTCTATGATTGTCGTAAATTATCTTAATTAGCGCTATCAGATGTTTATCTATTCCAATGTTTTCCAGCAAGGGCCATATCTTATTCTGAATTATGGAGTCAAAGGCTTGACTTAAATCAATCATCAGGGCAAAAATGGGGGATTTATGCATTCTGGCCTTTTCCAGAATGACCTTAAGTGCCATGGTCAACTCCGTAGTATTTCTGCCCTTCCTGTATGATGTAATAGCATTAGAAAGGAATCTGTTAATGATTGGTTTAATCCTGACTGATATGATGTATGTGAACATTTTTAGTGTGACTGGAATTAGTGCAATACCTCTGTAATCTTTAAGGCAGTTTGGGGACTTATTTTTAGGGAAGTTTAGTATGATTGATGTCATCCATTCATCAGGAAACTTGCCCGTATTCCAAATCTCCCTAAAGAGGGGAAGTAGTAAGTTGGCACTTAGGTCTACCTCTATCTTCCAGAGTTCTGCAAAAATTCCATCCGTTCCAGCTGCTTTATGCATTTTTAGACATTTGATGGCACCGACTATATCAGACTTGTTCAAATTCTGATTGGGTGATTGGAAGGGGTAGTCACATCTAGGTCTAGGCCATCTCGTTTTGTAGAGGTTCATGTAGTGGTCTATCCATAAGTCTAATTGTTCCTTAGGGTCAGTTATAATCTTGTTGTTTAATTGTAGTCTTGGTAAAGGATTGGTTTTAAAGGTGGTTAGTAGTTTTAGAGATTGGAAGGCCTTATAAATATTATTATTATCAAAATTGAATTGGATAGAATTCGATAAGTTAGCAATGAACAGTCTTTTGTCAGCTCTTATGCGGTGGGTAATGAACCTCCTGTGATGTCTTGCGAATTGATGGTGGGATATATTTGTTGTAAGATTCTTAATTATTTGTATTGTTGAAGGGGTGAGCCACTCTCTGCGCTTGGTGCGTGGTCTTAAGCATGATGTTATACTACCTAATACATTCTGCTTAATGTCCTTCCAGGTCAGGTTTGGGTTTATCATGCCATTTGCTGAGTTTCTCCATGATGTTAATTTAGAGACGAACTCTTCTTTCACCTCTAAGTCATTTAGTTGTGCCAAGTCTTTTCTAGCAATGTATTTTACAGTGGTGAGACTGCTCTGTCTAGTGTGGTTTGGGAAGATACTGTTGTTAATTTTGAGTTCACAGCCCAGTGGATAATGATCAGTAAAAAGTGTAAGGTTAAGTTTACTGATTACCCTGATGTCTTTCACCCATTTGAAAATCTTAGTGGAAATTATAAAGAAATCTATCTGTGAGGTAGTGCCAAAGGAAGGGCTCTTGTAAGTCATGATGGGATGAGTTGGGTGATTGAAGAAAGTATTACCAATTTTCAAGTTGAAAAACTCGCAGATTTCTATTAACCTTTTACCGTTGGGGTTCGTGCTTTGTATTAATGTGGCGTTTCCAAGGCAGGAAGAGTTCTTAGATTTACCTACCGAAGCATTGAAGTCACCTGCTAGAATGATGCCATCCCGATGCGGTAGTTCCTTTAAGACATTCTCCAATTCCATATAGAAAACGCTATCATTGTGAGGCGCATATATATTAAGCAAATGGACTTTTTTGTATCCTAAGTTTAGGGTGAGGCAGCATATTTGGCTGGATATTGGGTTGAAGCTTACGAGTCTTACTAGTTTATTATGTATCATAAACGCCACCCCAGCCCATACGTGTTCTGCATTTGAGCTGCAATATAAGGTGTAATCTAATAGGTTCCTTACCTCAGTTACTTTAAGGTGCGTCTCCTGTAAAAAGAGGATATCGTAATGTTGGTCTTTCATAATTTGTCTTAGTATAGTTAGCTTCTCATTTAGGGATCTTATATTTAAAGAGATCATCTTAATATTGTGGTCCTTCATTGAAAACTTTATTAAAAATTTAATTATGATTACCGTGCCGATTCTGTAAGGGAGTGAAGGGATAAAAGTAAAAAAAGTAATATATATATCTATTCATTTCAATTATGTCATTCTGATGTAAGTATAGTTTATAAAGTTCCATTACTTATTTGTGTGCTACCTAGTGTTGTTAATTGGTTGGTTGTAAAAAAAAACCAAAACCGGGGTTTGGGTCTAAACAAGAAAAAAACGACCAACCAGCCCTGAGCACAGACCCGGGGTTCAGACCTCATTAAGATAAATTAACCTTAATAATTATTAAACTTTATTAATTAATAAAGATAAAAAGTATAAATTGATATTATAAATTATACTATATTTTGACTTTAGAATAGGCACATCCCCCCCTCCCCCTTAAATGATACGAATATCCAAGTATTCTAATTATCTCAATTAAATTTAGGAGCTAATGTAACCTATAAAGCCCAAACCCATTTTTTGAAAAAAAATATGGGTTTAGCACATCCTTACTATTATATAATATGCAACACTATCTACACTCTCATTGGAAACAGTTATAATTTTATTATTTTTTTTTAAAAAAAATTTCGGAAGAAAAAGAAGCCTTTCAATAAATTTTTAAATATATTATTTACAATTCAATAAGTAAAAAATTATTTCACTTTTCTATGATAATATTAAACTCTTATGTCAATCAAAACCATATTCTTTGTATTATAATTATATAAAATATAATAACCATATTTTTAGAAATGTGTTCAAAAGATAATTGACGATATTGTAAAAGGGGAGGGCAATGCAATCCGTTTACCTATATATCTTAAGAAAAATTAAATCTTTTATAAAATAAATTTGGGTGAAAGTGACAAAAAGAAAAAATTATGGAGAGAAAATAAATAAGCGAAAATAATAACCTTTAATCCGGAGTGTTTACTGGGATCCGAGATTTAATATAAAAAGACCAAAATGTTGGAAGATGAGGTCACCTACAAAACTTAAAGAGAAAAAAAGAGAAAAAAGAAAAAAGAGAAAAAAATAAAAAGTGAAAAAGGTAAAGATTGTTTAATTCAGAAAAACAAATAAAATTTAAAACTGTATAGAGAAAAATTACCTCCATATCTCTGTGCACATTTGGAAAACGAGTTGACATGGACATTATAATAGAAAGGATTTAAAAATTGAGGGGAAATAAAATACAGCTAAGCGTATAAAAAATAAAGTAAACCTTTACAAAATTTTTATTTAATAGAAGACTATGGAAAGGAAATGATTACAATAATAATGGGGGAAACATTCAGGGTGGGATAACCTAATAACTTCACAATAACCATAATTAAAAATTATATTAAGCTCTAAATATATAAATACAAAATATTAATAACAATTTGTATAAGACATTGCCAAGAAGCAAGCAAGAGAAAAATTTAAATGTTAAGAAAGAGAGACGATGGCGCCCAATATTTGGAAAACTTTTATTTTAAGAGAAACAAAGGAATTAATATAACAAAGGCGCCTAGAAAGTTAAAAAATATGAAATATTGAAAATAAAATTTTATTTATTTGTTTTATTTTTAGCCAAGACAACTTGAGAAGTCGTTTGAAATTAAAGAAAAACATAAATACAATTTATAAATAGACAGAAAAAGTAAAATAGAAAC